TTTAAAGGGAGGAAAATGTGTAATATCAACAGCTGTCCCAATGCATGATGGGAGACAAATGACTACAGAGTGTCGGTAAGATGCCAAAAGACTAAAGAGATCATCAACTACAAGACACAAATAACTACAAAGATGCCAAAAGACTAAAGAGATCATCAACTACAAGACACAAATAACTACAAAGATGAAAAAAGACTAAAGAGATCATCAACTACAAGACACAAATAACTACAGAGATGAAAAAAGACTAAAGAGATCATCAACTACAAGACACAAATAACTACAAAGATGAAAAAAGACTAAAGAGATCATCAACTACAGGACACAAACAACTACAGAGATGAAAAAAGACTAAAGAGATCATCAACTACAAGACACAAACAACTACAGAGATGAAAAAAGACGAAAGAGATCATCAACTACAAGACACAAACAACTACAGAGATGAAAAAAGACTAAAGAGATCATCAACTACAGGACACAAACAACTACAAAGATGAAAAAAGACTAAAGAGATCATCAACTACAGAGATGCAAAAAGACTAAAGAGATCATCAACTACAGGACACAAACAACTACAAAGATGCCAAAAGACTAAAGAGATCATCAACTACAGGACACAAACAACTACAGAGATGCCAAAAGACTAAAGAGATCATCAACTACAAGACACAAACAACTACAAAAATGAAAAAAGACTGAAGAGATCATCAACTACAAGACACAAACAACTACAAAGATGAAAAAAGACTAAACAGATCATCAACTACAGGACACAAACAACTACAAAGATGAAAAAAGACTAAAGAGATCATCAACTACAGGACACAAACAACTACAAAGATGAAAAAAGACTTAAGAGATCATCAACTACAAGACACAAACAACTACAAAGATGAAAAAAGACTAAAAAGATCATCAACTACAGAGATGCAAAAAGACTAAAGAGATCATCAACTACAGGACACAAACAACTACAAAGATGCCAAAAGACTAAAGAGATCATCAACTACAGGACACAAACAACTACAGAGATGCCAAAAGACTAAAGAGATCATCAACTACAGGACACAAACAACTACAAAGATGAAAAAAGACTGAAGAGATCATCAACTACAAGACACAAACAACTACAAAGATGAAAAAAGACTGAAGAGATCATCAACTACAAGACACAAACAACTACAAAGATGAAAAAAGACTAAACAGATCATCAACTACAGGACACAAACAACTACAAAGATGAAAAAAGACTAAAGAGATCATCAACTACAAGACACAAACAACTACAAAGATGAAAAAGACTAAAGAGATCATCAACTACAGAGATGCAAAAAGACTAAAGAGATCATCAACTACAGGACACAAACAACTACAGAGATGCAAAAAGACTAAAGAGATCATCAACTACAGGACACAAACAACTACAAAGATGAAAAAAGACTAAAGAGATCATCAACTACAGGACACAAACAACTACAGAGATGCAAAAAGACTAAAGAGATCATCAACTACAGAGATGCAAAAAGACTAAAGAGATCATCAACTACAGAGATGCAAAAAGACTAAAGAGATCATCAACTACAGAGATGCAAAAAGACTAAAGAGATCATCAACTACAGGACACAAACAACTACAAAGATGAAAAAAGACTAAAGAGATCATCAACTACAGGACACAAACAACTACAGAGATGAAAAAAGACTAAAGAGATCATCAACTACAAGACACAAACAACTACAAAGATGAAAAAAGACTAAAGAGATCATCAACTACAGGACACAAACAACTACAGAGATGAAAAAAGACTAAAGAGATCATCAACTACACCCCCTGAGCCCAAGCACACTTTAAATCTGGCCCTGCTGAAATACATATAAACACGAGTATGTTGCTATTTTCACCTAAGGTAGCTTCACAGGTTGCTTCAGTTTGTTTGCTGTGTAAAAACATCAGGTGAGCACAGTGGAGATGTGATCAGGTAACCTCCTCAAAGAGACCAAACCGGTTCTACACTCAGGTCGTTTACATAGAAATCTGGAGTCTCTGAGTGTCTGAACCAAATCTGAGTGTAGAACCGGTTTGGTCTCTTCTCCACTGTGCTCACCTGATGTTTCTATGAGCATTAAATCTGTTTGAAAATGAAATAACACAAACTGTCCCTCCTTATTACGAGGCTGTTGTCCTCGTCACAGCGGCTGTGGGTTCGAATCCGACCTCTGCTCTTTGCTGCACGTCGTCCCCCGCTCTATCTCCTCCCAACACTTCCGGTCTCTCTTCAGCTGTCCTCTCTAATAATCAATCTGTAGAGATTATATCGATATCGGGTCTGACATCATTTACGTATCAGATATCAGCCTGACGGATGGTTGGACACGCTCGCTCAGTCTCACCTTTAGATGTTCAGACTTCACTGTGAGACGTGTCCACAAATCTCATACTCATAAAACCAACAACTCTGCAGAGTGATGATGTTTGTTGTGATGCATACAGCGCGGTG